GGTGGTGCCTGGCGAGGGGCAGAGGCACGGTACCCACGGTGGCATGGTTGCGACCCCTCCCAGTCTCAGCAAAGGCTGCCTGCCAGGGGGCCGTGGTGGGACTCTGTCACACAACTTGGCAGAACCAGAGGCAGGGGCGGTAGGGGCAGGAAAAGGAAAATTGATCGCAGGCCTCCCATGTGGATGATCAGCTTTATTTATGAGCACATGAGAGGCACCTTCAGAGATTTCCGGAAATACTTGTCAGTGGTTGGGGGTCATCCTGCAAAAGTGCAGGGCAAGAGGCAATAGAATTCTAGCGCCCCACCCCCACCACAGGGATATGGCGTGGGAAAATATGACCCACAGTTTTTCTTTGGTACCTCTCCTCTTACCCCATGTTCTTCCCCCACCCCTGGCTAATGTTCAGCCAAGACTCAAAACTGAAAAACATTTCTTCCAAGGCCCATAACTGTCTTCAGCAAGTACCGAGAGTTCCCAGTCGTGCATAGCTGCAAGCCACAGCCGCCTCCCCCCCTGCGTCTACCCTGCTTTGAATTTGGGGGAGCAGAGGAATGCACTTCGGGGCTGCGGCTCCCGGGAAGGGACACCGTGGCTCAGACCATCATTGTGGAGCCAGCTGGCCGCCTCCACGGGCTCCCCCGCGCCATCTCTCCCCGCGCGGCCCAGGCAGGCCCGAATCCCCGGGCGCTCCCGAAACGCTGTGGCGTCTCCCAGCGGCCTTTGGCGTGTGACCACGCAGACCCACCACGGGCTCCCCAGGGACGGTGACAGCAAGGAGCCAAGGGTCTTAACTTCAGTTGCTCAACTCAGGGCGATTTTTCGGGGCTGCAAGTCCTTGTCCGGTGTGAATACGCACAATGGAGCCTGGGGTGCAAGGGTACTGATGCAGTTCCAAGGAGGCCATGTGCCCCAGCTCTTTGCAAAATCCCATCTGGCTTTTATTTTGCAGAGGCCACGGCCCTTTTCTGTGTAACTAGGGAGCTTTTGGGAGCATTGCTCTCAGCGAACAAATAAGATAGAGGAGGCTAGAGCCTGTATCTGGGGTCACAGGGCTCTCCACACAGGGGACACCAGCCTGACTCCACCCCAAGCGGCATTCAGTTTCTAGGTTAAGTGTCGCCAGCTGGGCTGGGCCAGAGAACTTGCCACCAGGCCTGGTGGGCTCCCAGTTGAAAGGTCAGAGATGGAGGGGACCTGTGCCCCCAGGCCCACTTCCCTCTGAAATTGCTAAGCCGGAACTTTGGGATCCCTTGGCGCGATCTGGTGGATGCCACCTTTGTGAGCACCCGGGGCTCAGGCTCAGAAGCTGACCTCACCGAAGCCCGTGCACACACTCCTGTGAGCAGCGTCCTTTCCAAGTAGCTCTTTTTAATTCAGGTCCTTTTTTTATTGAATCCGGCAGGTCACTTTCGATGTTCTTTGAAAACTATCATCTTAATCCTAAAATACTTACGGAAACAAAGTTTAAGTTTTTGGAAAGCATTTGGCTTGATATGGGGGCAGATGAAGGAAAGGGAGGCCCTGCTTCCACAGTAAGGCAAATCCACCGCATCAGGCATTCCAGAACACCGGGACCCAAGGGGCTGGGGCGACAAGGTGCCACGGGGCGTGGGCCACAAGCCCACGTGCTGGAGCCGGCAGTGTTTTTAATCCGCTGTCTGGCTGACTTTATTGAAGACAAGCTGTTCCAAAACAATAAGCGGCGGCAGTTTGGGGCGGTCCAGCCCTGTGCTTGTCTGACTCAACTCCATTCAGGCCTCTGCTTAATTTAGTGCAGAAAAAGGGAAAATGCAGGATTGGCATCATCGTTAGGCATCTTTTGTTCCTCAGACCACGCTGAGAAAGGCCTCAGGCCGGGAGCCAAGTCCTGTGAGGACATCGGTCTCTGTGATCCAGGCAGGGGGACGAGGGCCCTGGCCCGCTCTGAAAGTCCAGCCTGGGGAAGAGGCCACTCTTCAGCAGGCTCTGGGGTCTTGTGTTGTGGAGCTCCCCCCTGATTTCTAGGCATGCCCCAGCTACGCCTCAAAAGAAGACCTGTAGGGCACCTGGGTGGCTCAGTCGTTAAGCGTCTGCCTTCGGCTCAGGTCATGATCCCGGGGTCCTGGGATTGAGTCCCACGTCGGGCTCCCTGCTCAGCGGGAAGCCTGCTTCTCCTTCTCCCACTCCCCCTGCTTGTGTTCCTGCTCTCGCTGTCTCTCTCTGTCAAATAAATAAATAAAATCTTAAAAAAAAAAAAAAAAAAAAAAGAAGACCTGTCTTCAGAGCCGGACCAGGGGGTGGGTAAAGGTGGGATCCATTGTCCTTCCCCGGCTCTGGTGAGAGATTTTTATTTTTATTTTTTTATTTTTTTAAGATTTTATTTATTTATTTGCGAGAGAGAGAATGAGAGAGAGCACGAGAGGGAAGAGGGTCAGAGGGAGAAGCAGACTCCCTGCTGAGCAGGGAGCCCGATGTGGGACTCGATCCCGGGACTCTAGGATCATGACCTGAGCCGAAGGCAGTCGCTTAACCAACTGAGCCACCCAGGCGCCCTGGTGAGAGATTTTTAAAGCAGCATCCTTGGGAAGGCAATCTGGAATAAGATGAGGGCAACGATGTTGAGCACAGGCAATGGGGCTCTTCCAAAGGACAACCGTACGAACGAACTCACAGTAGGAACTCGTTCCTCGGCCGAGCAGATAGAGCCGACTTCCAGGCTGAGTTAGTTGCATGGCTCCCTCGTAGTGACAGAGGCCGACCCCCTGCTGTCGCACTCAGAAGGACACATGGGCAGGTCTAAGTTGGATAACTGCCGCTGTAAGAACATCTCTGCTCAACTCCACCAGGAACGCCATGAGTTGGCGGAGATGCCAATGAAGGCAGGACGTTCCCCACCTTCTCCTTGGTCCCCGTGTGGCTTCCAGTCGGCTCGGACTTCTCTTTGAGTTCTTCACAGTCTAACGGGAGGGTACAAAGCTGGGGTCCCTCCTAACTGTCTTTCAGTTGGCTGGAAGCCAGGGGAAGATCCGAGTTTAGTGCCGCTTATGGAGAGGGGGCACCTGTTTCCGGGGAATCTGGGTGGGCCCATGGTCTCCAACTCTGCTTCTCCATCAGTGTCCAGACCTGGGGCTGGATTCCTCTTCGAGCCCCTCCAGTTTCTTCTGTGTGTGTATCAATGCTGGGTTCCTCTGTGAGGAAGGAGGTCGCGGTGGGCCATCGGCTTACGCTTCAGGAACTCCTTGGCAGTTTCGCAGTTGTCCTGGGCGAGGCCCGAGGATGTCCTCTGGGTTCAGAAAGCCCTGCCTAATCTCTACTTGAAGGGTTCTTAGGATCTACCTGGGAAGGTTGAGGGGTAAATCCCCTCCAGGGCGCCAAGTCCTCCCACTGCCAACAGACCACCCTTTCCACAACCCCAGGAAGTGCGGCCATTCCTCCCATGATGCCCCATGTTGAAGGCAGCCTGGGGTGTGCTGACCAGATGGTGGGATCAGCATGGGCAGGAACGAATAGCCACGTACTTGGCCCAACTTCTAAGGCCCACTGCTAACAGTACACCCTTGCACTAACCACTGATCCAGGACTGTGCCCTGTTGACTTTGGAATCCATTCCCACAGGCCCTAAATGAATGAGCGACCTCCCAGGACACGGGCATGTGCCAGGTTTTATTTTCCAGTGAAGGGAATGATCCAAGGCAAGCTGCCTCGTACCAGCTGTGTGACTTGGACCAAGTCAAGTCCCTTTTCTGTTACTTCAAAATGATGAGTGAGGAAAGTAGGAGGGCTGAACTTTGCCAGGAGACCTCTAACATTCACCCACTCTAAATTCTGATTTTAACAGGTCCCAAGTGCAGGGACCTGTTTTTGCCAGGTTGTAGACTGGACTGCCATTGTGGGGCATGCACAGAGCCCACCTCTCATCCAGCCAGGGCACAACGCCTCTCCGGGCTGGCACCTGCCAGCTAAGTCTGGGTGCAGCTCCAGCTTGGAGCCCTGAGCTAAACATCCATCAGAAACTCCCAGAAGAGGGTGGCTGGGGGAGGGGGCTGGGAGCTTCCAATATTTACTGAAAATCACTAAGGGCTCTGTGAGCAAAAGTCCTAGATTTGAGTTCCCACCGAGTTCCCACTGAGATGGAGCCTCTCTGTCAAACTAAAGAAGGGAGGAATCCCCCAATCTGCTTTTTAGAAAGGAACTCCTATGAATGAAAAGCTATGGCCCCCACCGGGGAGCCCCTGGCCCATTAGACAGCCCGTGGGCAGCCTGCTGAGCTCATGTCGTTCGAGGCCCCAGTCTGTGCCCACTGCAGAATTTCCCTATCTGGTGTGGTCACGGCCTGTTCAGCTGAGCAGCCCGACCAGGGAGGGACGCGCGTCCCCCTCCTGGAATCCCCTGAGGATACTCGGAGTAGGTCCTCTTTTCCTCCGGGGCAGAAATGAGAGCCAGAGACACAGCCCGCACGGCTGAGCCAAGAGGCGGTTGGAGCCATACGAGGCGCATTAACTATTAATAATTTCCAGTTGTTTGCTCGCTGGGTTCGGCCGGCTCCCCCACTCTGGCTCCCCAGGCCGCCAGGGCTCCACACTAGCGATCGCCGGGCTCTGCCGGGCCAGGACCAGGGGCCAAGGCGCCAACAGGAGCCTGGTGCGAGCGGGGTCCCGCGTCCCACCTGTAGCAGGGCGCGGGGCGGCGGCGGGACTGGGGTGCCTTTCCCTCCCGGATCGGCCGCTCGAGGCGGGCTGGGCTGCAGTGCGGAGCGGGGCGCGGGCGGCGCACGGCGGGAGCGCAGCGGCCCCTGGCGCCGGGCCTCGGGGCTCGGCGGGTGCGGGTCGGTCCCCGCGCGCCGGGCGGGGCGGGGCGGGGCGGAGGGCGGGGCCGGGAGCGCGGCAGCCGGCGAGACCCGGAGGGCGAGCGGGCTGCCGGCAGGGAGGGCGGCCCGGCGGGCACCGGCCCAGGCCCGCGTGTGCGCCGCTCGCGCCCCTCGCTCGCCCCCGGCCCCCGGCCCCGGCGCGCCAACAGCCATGGTGGGCCGGCTGAGCCTGCAGGATGTGCCCGAGCTCGTGGACACGAAGAAGAAGGGCGACGGCGTCCTGGACAGTCCGGACTCGGGGCTGCCCCCCAGCCCCAGCCCCAGTCACTGGGGGCTCGCGGCGGCCGGGGGCGGCGTTAGCGGCGGGGAGCGCGCGCCGGCCCCCGGGACGCTGGAGCCCGACGCGGCGGCGACCCCCGCGGCCCCGGTGAGTGGCCCCGCTTGGGCCCCTTCCTTCCCGCAGCCGGTTCCCCAGGGACCACCGCCAGCCTTGCCCGCCCGCTCGGGGCGCGCCGTCGGCGCCGCCACCAGCCCGTCGGGACGGCGTGGCCATCGCGGGGAGCCCGGGGCGGGAGCGCGGCGAGAGCCTGGCCAGCTGGAGCCGGTGGCTGGAAAATTGTCATCGCCTGGGAGGCGCGGGAGCCCCGGGAGAGGCGAGCCCCCGCCTCCTCTCTTTGGGGTGGCGGCCGCCGGGGCAGCCAGGCTGCGGCTCGGCCACATTTCTGCCCGGGCCGGGCTGGAGAGGGGCCTCGGGGACACCGAGAAGGAACGCCAGCCTTCCCCGTACTGCGGGCCTGGCACCCCCGGGCTTTGCCGCCACCGGTGGCGCCTCCCAAGGACCTGGCCCCTCCTGGCTGGTCTTGGGGAGAAGGGTGTGTGTGCTCCGGCCCCCTGATTCAGAGAGCAAGTGGGGCCAGCCTTTGGGGACCGTGTCAGTGGTGGGGGAGGGGACCTTGGAGAAAAGTTACCCCCTGAGCCCCTGGCCTCCTGGTAACCCCCCTCCCATCCTGTCACCTAACCCATGTCTGGCACTTGATGGGTGGGAGGCCTTTAGATGGGTGGAACCTTTCAAAAAGGAATCCTTTTATTTTGTAAAGAAAAAACACCTAGTCTTTTTTGCCTCAGGAATCGCGCAGGTGGTGGTGTTTATTGCCTTTACCTAGAGCTGAAGGGGAAGCCACATCCTGTCCACAGCCAAGGCTCAAAGTGGGGCTCTCAGCCCCCCTCCCTCCCCCTTGGGGATGGGTATGTGCGGCTGTCTCCCCTGGGGTGAAGTAAGACCTATGCACGTTGATGCGCGTGGAATTCTTGACCCGCTGACCCGTCCCGGGGACATCGGTGCGCTCTCTCATTCCCATTGGAAGGCAGCACTTGTTTCCCCTTGGCCTTCAGACCCTTGCTGTGTGGCCCTTCGAGCCTCGCTCCTGACCACAGGCAGACACAGACGTCGGTGCTCGGTTGCCACTCCGCTACCTCGCATATGCCTTTTCCCTCTGAGCCCATCCCCTCCCACGGCCGCCTCGCCTTGTTGACCAATCGGCGCCCTGCTGGCCCTTCAAGCCCAACTTGTCACCTCCTCTGGGGAGTCTTCCTTCCACGTCAAAATCGGTGGCTTGGTCCCCATTCCCTGGTGTCTGTTGTCATTCCTGCTGCCTGTCCCATCTCCAGCCTGCACCTGGGCCGAGGTGTGTGCCCAGGGACTGTCTGTTGGGTGGGCAGGGAGGACGGAGCCACTAAGGCAGGGGCAAGAGAACTGAGTGCCCGTGTGGCTTCCTGGCTTAGTGTGAGTGTGGGAGAGTTGTCCCCCTCCCCGCCTGCTGTCATCCCGCAGCCCCCAGGACTGCCTGCAGGTGCTCCCTAGGGAGCAGGGAGCTGGGGGCAGAGCAGGACCCACTGTCACTGCTCAGGGGCTGTTCCCGAAAGCTCTGTGGTAGCCAGTGCCCGCACCTTGCCCTGCCCCCATCTACTGACGGTGGTTCCCAGCCACAGCCCCTCCCCCAGCCAGGGCTTCTCCAGCCCTCCACCCAGGTTCAGGAGCTGGACCCTGAGGACACTTTGCCCCTCCCTCACGCCTGGTCCCCTAGCCGGGTCCCCTTTGACTTTGTATTTCCACCCTACACCCTCATTTGACACACTGTCCTGGTAACGTGGTAAGAGTCTTAGAGCCTCCCTTCTAAAACTGTCTGCTTCCTTCTCTACCCTGGAAGGCGTGGGGGCGGGGCTGCCACCTCCACATCCTGGCCCAAGTGTGGATCCTCCTCTCAAATTAGGCAAAGAAAATGACACATAGCCAGTAAACCCGGAACCCAAGGGACTGCTCCCCATTGAACACTTAACACAGAAGCCCAATTCCATTCAAATCGGGTGAAAACTAGCACCTGTGTCTCTGACAGGACTGGCTCTTATTCAGGCGACTTGAACCGGAAAGTTCGGAGCGTCATCCAGGCTAGGAGCCAGTTAACCTCCAGGGATGCTGTGCTCTGGTTCTTTGAGTTTGCTGAGTTGTGGAAGGTGGTGTAGAGAACTTCTTGGTGTTCACCTCCGTCTTGGTTGGGTGTTAATCTGGTCATTCCAGAGGCAGAGAAGGGACGGGGGAAGTCCCGCTAAATCTTCAGTGTGAAAAAATTTCTGGTAGAATTTTTTCATTCTGGCCTTTTCTGAAGTGTTGCTGAGACAATGACAGGGTTGGGGGACACATAATTGAAGGTTCTGGTTAGTGAAGCCCCAGTTCGTCGAGGTTTTCTCATTGCTGTAAGATGGTGCAACAGCCCCTGGGTCCCCCCAGGGTCATGACATTGAGCTCCTTAGGCTCTCACAAAACCCCCATGAAGGAAGGAGGCATCCCCCTTGGTGTGCAGATAAGGTAAGGGGGCATGGGGTGTGACCCAGACTGCCTGGCTCTCCAGCCAGAGCTCTTCCCAGGCTGTGGGGCAGCCTTTCTCTGGCATCACTCCCAGGAGGAGGACACAGATCACAGTTGGGCCCATCAGCCACAAGCTCCGAGCCAGGACCTCCATGGGGGATGCGCCAGCCCGGCCTGTGGTCTAACTGCCTTCTCCATCCTCACAGAATCCAGCATCTCTGCCCAGCCCCGTGGCCTTTGCCTGCTCGCCAAGGCTGTGCCCCCTGTCCTTTGGCGAAGGAGTGGAGTTTGACCCCTTACCACCAACGGAAGTAAGGTAAATATAGCAGGCCCAGGTTTGATTGGGGTTTTTCATTTTTTTCATTGTTTATTCCAGAAACGAGTGCCTGTTACTTAAAAAAAAATGAGTAAATCACAAAAGTGTGCCAAAGACTACTCATAGTTTGCTGGGTACTATTTTGGATTTCTTCGTGTATTCTAACCAATTAAATATATAGGCACGCCTTTTGGAATAAAAACATCATGTTATACGTAAAGTCCTGCGACTTGCTTTTTGCACTTTTTGCCTTTGCACATTGTGGCCATCAGATGTGTACAGTTTTGTAATAAAATAATTCCTCTTTCCAGAAGCTGCTCCCCCCATGGCCCCACCCTGCTTCAAGGGGCTATAACCTTGTCTCATATTACAGTTTCACTGGGCAAGTACCATTCTTCCTTCGGGAATTGATCTCATCCAGGTTACCTGGGGGCAGAGATCCATTGAGAGCCTCTGTTAAAGATCTGTCTCTTCAGGGAAAGGAATTTTACTTTTGGCAGCTGGTGGGGTTTTTTTTGCTGGAGTTTCAGTTCCCTTGACACAAAGGGCCCTTTGATGGGGTAAAAAGGCAGCTCACCAGTTTGGAGGTGAGCAGTTCAGTCCTTTATTCCTGCCGAGCTTGTATTTTGAACAAAATGAAGACATGACTTCATGACATTAGCTTCCCCCAGACTCTTACCTACTCGCTTAAGGAGAATAGACGTTCCCATCATCCATCCAACCCACTGAAAAGAATGCTAATTCTTAGTCCCTGACCAGTGGGTAGGGGCTGGTGGGGGGCAGTGCTCTGTGATGCTCTATGAAGCTGTAATAATTACTCAATAAAATGAACTCATGCTTGGGGTGCCTGGATGGCTCAGTCAGTTGGGCGTCTGCCTTCCGCTCAGGTCATGATCCTAGGGTCCTGGGATCGAGCCCCACATCAGGCTCCCTGCTCAGCGGGAAGCCTCTCCCACTCCCCCTGCTTGTGTCCCCTCTCTCCCTCTCTCTCTGTCAAATAAATAAAATCTTAAAAAAAAAATTAGCTCCCAAATTACCAAAGAAAGACGTAAAAAAAAAAAAAGTAAAATAGCTGCTGAGGAACATGGAAGTTAATTTATTTTATGGAAATCAAGATGGTAATTGGCTCTGATTGATAAGGTCAGATCTCTGAGTCTCTGGTTTGAGTGGTCTCCACACCGAAGGCCAAGGGGGACCAGGTACTGGTACTTGGTATTACTGAACTTCAAGAATTCCTGGGTTCTGTCATCCTGTCCTTAAAGAGCGCCTGGCTGGCTCAGTCGGTTAAGCATCTGCCTTCAGCTCAGGTCATGATCCCGGATCGGGCGCCTTGGTCAGCGGGGAGTCTGCTTCTCCCTCTCCCTCTGCCTGCTGCTCCCCCTGCTTTGTGCTCTCTCTTTCTCTCTGTGTGTGTCAAATAAATGAATTAATAAAATCTTAAATAAATAAATGAAGAGCTGATGGTGAGGGCGCCTGGCTGGCTGAGTCAGTAGAGCCTGCAGCTCTTGATCTCAGGGTCATGAGTTCGAGCCCCATGTTGGGCAGAGAGCTTACATTTAAAAAAAGAAAGAAAGCTGATGGTGACTTCAAGGGACAGAGAAAACAAAGCATTGACCCCTAGTGAGGGGGTAGAACCCGCATTGTTCTACCACTGACTTATACCACTTGCTGCGTGTGAACACTCTGCTCGGTTACTTCTGGGCATGTTTCACAGAAAGAGGAAACAAGGCTCGGAGAAGGAGCCCGAGCAGGCTGTCCGAGCTGACACGCATGGGCGCGGCCTCCCCGGGGCTGCTGCCTGCCGTGAGAAGCAGTGCCTGCAGGGTGAACGTGGGGATGTTGCACACCTGCAGGTAAACCCCAGCCCCACCACTCACTCCCACTGTGACCTTGACCTCTGCACCGCCATTTCCTCTCCCCGGGTGCTTGGTTCAGTTCAGTTTGATCCTGGAAAGAAAGTGCTTCGAACAGTACCACCCCGTAAGCGCTTCATCAGCCCTGGGCTGCTTCTGACGAGACCAGCCACGTCTCAAGTTTTGCACCCCACGAGAGAATCAAGGTCACAGTAGGGACCGCTGTGCCCCAGGCTCAGGGGAACGGCCTCGTGCTGCCTTCTCTCTCCCGCCCAGGTACACGTCGTCGGTCAAGTACGACTCCGAGCGGCACTTCATCGATGATGTCCACCTGCCCCTGGGCCTGGCAGTGGCCTCCTGCAGCCAGACGGTCACCTGCATCCCCAACTGCACCTGGCGCAGCTACAAGGCGGAAGTGCGCTTCGAGCCCCGCCACAAGCCCACCCGCTTCCTCAGCACCACCATCGTCTACCCCAAGTACCCCAAGACCGTCTATACCACCACGCTGGATTACAACTGCCGCAAGACACTGAGGAGGTTCCTGTCCAGCGTGGAGCTCGAAGCCTCAGAGCTCCTGGGCAGTGACGGCCTCTTGGATGAGTGCTGACGGGAGCCCGGGCGGGCTGGGACCGGCTCTGGCGCTGCCCTCGCGTGCCGTTCGTGCTCCAGAGGGGTCTGGCCCCGCCATACCTCTGAGCCCAGCCTGGGGAAGAAAACCATGTCATGGCCTCTTATAATCATGGAGAGAATTGGGTTTTTAAAAATGTTCAAATTGCTTTCCAAAGGCGTATATTTCTCGTTTGCCGCTGCGTGGCTTCCCCAGGGTCTCAATTTGATGAGCAAATAGAAAGCCAGCTGGAGCAAAAGGAAAATGGCCCCAGTTTGAGATGGGGAGGGAGGAGACGGCTCTTCTCCCGTTGGTCAGTTAGCCTGAGGAAGGGCGCGGAGAAAGTCTCTGGGATGGAAAAAATGAGTTGTGAGACCTTCCAGCCCCGGGTGTCTTCACTGACAGCGGTTCTAGTTCCGTAAGCTGTGACATCCTTGTGGGTCCAGTCTGTGGAGAGCTGAGTTCCATTCCGTCGTTTATTTCCCTTTGTGTTTCCTGTTCACCAAAACTCTTGGAATTCCCTAAATCCTTTTCATATCAAAAAACCCCAAACCACACAATAAGATGCCTTTTTAAAAAAAGAGAGAGAAAGTTCACACTGTTCTCCCCTCTCTTCAGGAAACTCACGTCCACCAGGGGCTTCGGTTCTGGGTCCTTCCACCGGTTGGGTGCGAGCTTGGGCTCTGGCAAAGCACCTTGAACCCTTGGCATCTGGTAATGTCTCCACGGGCTTGTGTAACTCTCCCGATATGTGTTTTGGGGTTTCCAAATACTTTCCTATTTTTTTCATAAGGCAGAACATAGCCAAGGGCCCTTTTGAGAGTAACAGCATGTTGAAAGAATGCTTAGGGAAGCCACTTTTGGGGACCCCACAAGGGGGTTTCACTCCACCCAGGACTGGCCGGCGTCTGGGAGAGGCAGATGTGGATGTTTCTGGTGACCTGCTCCATCAGGATGGGTGTCCCCTCCAGAGAGCCCGGGTCAACTTGGACGGGCTCAACACCACAGAGGAATTCTGCCCGCACCTTAAGTCTAAGCCAGAAAGCAAGAAATTCGCCCCAACCCTCCCTCCAGGTATAGGAGAGGTGACTGCAGGATAGGAATTGATGTCACAAGTCAAACTCCAAAACTTGGGCGCCGTTGGGATGGTACACTTTTCTTCTCAGTGCTTACTGTAGTGTAGGAACAATCATGGCGTTAGATGCGCGTGGAAGACACTTGTGAGCTCAGCTGAACCGGCCTCAGAGGCAGAAGGGGTCTGCCGGCTGTCTCTGGCCTCAGCCCCCTGCCCACGCTGCCTCCCCACCAGCCCATGCTTCTTACCCCTACCAATCCCTGAGGGTTTTGAGTGAAGACAGTGGCAGGTGGCTTTTTCTCTTCCAATTTGGGGAGGAACAATCCGTGAATATTTCCTTTGAATACATACAAATTAGACCATGTGCTGGAGGGTTATAGAGTATTGTGCCCAGATTCCTGCTGTATTTTGGGGTTTCTGTTGATGGCTTCCATGTGTCCTGAAAGCAGAATTGATAGCTCTCTGGGTACCCTGGAGCCACAGCAGGGACTTTTGTTCCGAGGAGAGCGGGTGTGATGATAATCACTCTCACTTAAAAGTCATTGGAAGCCTCTAGAGCAAACTGTCTGGCGTCCTCTTCAGCTTTGGCAATGTGTGGTCTTGTCATGCCCCTAACATTTGGACGCAGCCCTCGGTGGATCCTGCGGGTGGGTCTGTGGTCCTGAGTTTGCCATAGCAAAGCTTGGCGGGGACCTGTAAAGGGGGCACTCTGGGACTCCATGACCTCCTTCGTCATGCAGAGTGACAGATGCTGTCTGGAGTAAATTATGTGGCTTTTCTTGATAAAAATGAATTTTTTTTCTCTGATTTCATAATCTTGGCATTTAGACAAGGGGTAAATGAAATTTTTAAATAATGTTAAGAGAGTTCCCAAGGCTTTGTCCTGGCCCAGTGGGGACACTTGAATGAGCTCAGAACAATATTGTGGGCAGCGTGGCAGGAGAGACGAATGGGAGAACATGGCCTTTGCACACGGCAACGTTTTGAGATGTCCATATGAGATTTTTTTGTTTTGTTTTGGGGGGTTGGGTTAAGCTCGGGCGAAGCATTCGAGGTGTGGAGAGAATCTGAAATATATCGGTAAAGTAAGTAGAAGTGAGCAATTGTGAATGTGTAATGCGAATGGAAAAGCAGGTTTTATCTTAAGTTATTCACTAGGGAACTAACTGTAGTTCTTTCTAATCCTTTCTTTTTCTTCAAACCTGCTTTGCTGCAAGTTACAGGAAAGAAGCATAAGAAGACGTAATGGGACACTTCAGGGGAGGTCAAATGACATTGCTCTTGGTGGACTTGTGTTAGTTTACGAGGTAGAAGCAATGATTTTTTAAAACTCATTAAAATCAACCATTCCTAAGCATATCTGAGAGAACAGTTTACTTATTAAGAAGTCTTTTTTCTCAGTCTCCTAAATTACAGCGTTCATGTGAGAAGGATCAGAGAAAAGTTTTCTTTTCAAAGTCAGACCTTTTAAAAAGAACGATTACCTTTTCATTTGACTCTTTTCCTGTTTCTAACCTTAGGAAATCCAGAACTGTATTTGACAAAAACTATTTTTTAAATTTATCTTTGACATCTGTCCCATTCCATTTTGCTTTGTGACTTCTTCATTTAACAATAAATTATCTTTAAAGAAACAAAACTTAGAGGTGCTTCTCTTTTTTTACAGTAAAATTATAATGTTTTAGTGAAGAAACATGAGAAAAACACCTCATCTTGAGAAATTTTAAGATGTGATTGTATTTAATACTGTAATACTTCTGTCTGGAGTATGCATTCCCCTGGGATACAAGATTTCACAGGGACCCCTCAGCGCAGATAGTTTTATTAGGGAATTTGTTCCCAGATTCAGTGTGTACTCTTTGCTAAAACTCATCTACCCTGAAATTATGACTGGTCCAGTCCTTCCTTCCCACCTCCCCTTCCAAATTGCCTTTCTCCCATTTTGCAGAAGAAATAATGTGTTAGTCTAACACATCCTTATTTTACTGTAGGATATTGCTGTGGGCTGGACAAACCTATAGGCACTGGACAAAGGGACAGTTATAAACAGTGGTATCGGCGCCAGGACCTGAGGGCTCCACGTCTGTCAGTGTCCTACACATAATTTTGACAAGAATGAAGTATGGTGGCAGAAGCAAGACTGACCTGTGTTGGGAACTTCTTACTGCCAACATCTCAAAGTGAGGCAGTTGGAGTGATAACACTATTCATTTAATACCTACAATCTCTTCCATCTCAGACCATTGTCTTCCCAGAAGGAAAGTCCCTTTGGGCAAAGTGTTGATAAGAGAAGAGTTGATAAGAATTATCAAAAGTGAAGGCATCTTATTTCATTCAGGTGTCAAATTCACGGCAAGGCTCTGTGCCTTATCCGTTAGTCTTTGAGTTACAACTTAAATATGTCTCAGGAATGTATATTATTGTGTGTGTGTGTTTGTGTGTGTGTGTATTTTAAGCCAGTCCCTTTTTAACAGAAACTATGGCTGGCTGGGATGACAGCAAGAACTAATATTGCCACTTAGGTTATATAGTGTAAATTTCCCACAAAATGAATGAGCTAATAGCAGTTCCAAGGTTATGTTGGAAAAATATTTTTTTTTATTTTTTATTTTATTTTTTTTAAAGATTTTATTTATTTATTCATGAGAGACAGAGGGAGAGAGAGAGAGGGAGAGAGAGAGAGAGAGAAGCAGAGGGAGAAGCAGACTCCCAAGGAGCAGGGAGCCTGATGCGGGACTCGATCCCAGGACCCTGGGATCATGACCTGAGCCGAAGGCAGACGCTTAACCATCTGAGCCACCCAGGCGCCCGGAAAAATATTTAAAGCGTGTAGATTTATAATTGTGTGTATGTGTGTGTAGAGAGAAGCAAATGTGTTGAAACTAATAAATTTTTTTAAAGATTTTATTTATTTGATAGAGAGCACAAGCAGGGGGAGCAGCAGGCAGAGGGAGAGGGAGAAGCAGGCTTCCCGCCGAGCAGGGAGCCCGATGCGGGGCTTGATCCCAGGACCCTGGGATCATGACCTGACCTGAAGGCAGACGCTTAACCGACTGAGCCACCCAGGTGCTCTGAAACTAATAGTTTTTCAATTTTCCCTCAAAAAATACCTTTCTAAGCATATCAGATTAAGCTGGCACCTCAAGAGAAAAAGTAGTAGGTGTAATTAATAATATGATAAATCTGGGGCGCCTGGGTGGCTCAGTCGTTAAGCATCTGCCTTCGGCTCAGATCATGATCCCAGAGTCCTGGGATGGAGCCCTGCATCAGGCTCTCTTCTCAGCGGGAAGCCTGCTTCTCCCTCTCCCACTCCCCCTGCTTGTGTTCCCTCTCTTACTGTGTCTCTCTCTCTCAAATAAATAAATAAAATCTTTTAAAAAAATAATATGATAAATCTGAGGAAGCCATTTTGGTATACTTCCCAGAAATGTGAGAAAGGAATGACTTTATTGATTAGGTAACAAATCCTATTGCAAGAAATACCTCTTCTCAAAATTGAATTTTAATAATTTTATCTTAGGGCATAATCACTACAAAGTGTTTCATTCGTAACACTACTTCCCAAAGTGCTTTCTATGGAATAGGAGGTTTTACGGTCAAATAAGTTTGGGAAAATGGAAAGCTGAAGATACCACATATGTTTATTGTAGGGCTCTGCGGAACACCTGCATTAGTCAGCTTCTGCTGCATAACAACCACAAAATCGTAGCGGCGCACAGCAGCAAGCATTTATTTCTTGTGTAAAAATGTATAGGTCTGATTGGGCAGTTCTGCCCAAGGCTGGGTGTTGAGTTCAGGTTTGCTCCACTTGTCTCTGAAGCAGGCTAGAGAGTTACCTGGGGCACATTCTTCTCATGGAGGAGGTCAAACGATCAAAAGGAGCAAGAAGAAACATACAACACCTCTTAAAGTCTGCCCTCCTGCC